AAGTTGTGAAGTGCTCTTACCTACAGGCCAGGGTGAGGTCACAGAACATATTATAAGCTCTTTTAGCATTACATCCTTTGGTTTTAAATATGGTTACTTAATATCTATTCTGCAGATAGTGCAAATGTGTTCTAACAAAGATTTTGGCCCTCTGTCCCAGTACGCTCTGGGGCCACACAAAGGAGTGTAAATTAACTGAAACAAAGTTACTTGACCCTGTGACTCCTTGGAACAGCCTCCTAAAGAAGACTACCTCATGGACTAGTTGGACTAACCTAGAGGAGGAAGAAGGTTCTAGAACCATGCCAGACCTTCTTGTTTCAGCAAGTACTCTGAACCAGGATGAAGACATGATTACACACTGGTAGAACCTTCGGCGCCTCCAAATGGAGGGATGGCTAATGTGCGTTGTGGAATTAGAGTGCAAAAAATCTTGACCTTCTGGAATAATTAACTAAAGGTAAAGGCTAAATTGAATGATAGTATTTCTGAAAACTCCAAATCAAGTGGTCAAATATGAAACTGGGGAGAAGCACATTTAGAGAAGCATATGCAGGATAGCTGTACAATTGGACAATGAAATATTATAATATGAATGCACAAGAAAAGGGACAGATTAGATCTTATGCTGATTAACTACAGAGGAAATAATCCAATTTGTCTAGGAACACTAACTCACTCTCTAGTGCAGGTCTGAGGATCATACTTCAAAAGCGCATCCGGAAGAGACAGTACCCATCAGTGAAGACATTCTCAGTCCACACAAATAGGGTTTGGTGGAAAGAACTGAACGTGATCTTAGAGGCTGGCAGTGTTTTGATAAACACATTTGTACAAGTCCTCAAAAGAGTGAAATAAAGATATGGGTATTATAAACAACATAGCTCATATTTTTAAAAATGTGTTTATGCTCAGGACTGACCAAGTAAAGAAATGTTTATTGAATTCAAGATCAGTGTTGGCAAGTAGTTTACCAAAAGTGACATTAATATGGTCATAATATACCTACTTTGATTGGGAAATACGGTCGTTTGTTAAGGATGAAGATTGAGGATGATCCGGAAGACTACAAACCAATGAAAATGGAGGGATTATATAAAATTAACCAAGAAAAAATAAAATAACTTCACAATACTGTTAATCTTCCAAAAACCACAGGTGGAGCTAAATCAATTCACAGCAGACCGGAAGGCGTGGCTGCATTGTCACGTGCAGCTGAGTCTCCGGCAAGGACAATGAGACTGACACTCCACGGGAGCTTCAGGTCGCAAGTCAGATTATGAAGACTTAGTAGCAAGGAATTGCAGGGTTAGTGCAGAGTCGAAATCGCTCCCAAAGATGAGTACATGATCTTAGAGGCTGGTGGTGTTTTGAAAGAAAAAAACATTAGAGAAAATGGTGCAGGCAACAAGAATGGGAGGAGAAGATGTCCCATGGTGATAAGTGAGCAGAATATTTGGAAGGACCGTAGTGGAGGTCAGAAAGAGAACATGGGAGTCTCAGACTTTTCAGTTAGGTGCTAAGAAGGCTGCGTGGGAGGATACCAGAGGGGCCAAAAGAGGAAGTGAAGTTGGTTAAGGTCAAAGTCAAATGGGTCAAGGTCAAAGGTGCAGATGGTGAGCACAGTCCTAAACTATGACGGCAGATTAAAGAGCAGAAAGGAAAGCCTCTGTCATTTTACATTCTCAAGGAAGGAGGAGCGGTGGAGAGGTAAATAGACACTGGTAATCAGGGCGGGCAGTAATAGGAAAGAAAAACAAAGCACAGGGGTGGGCGTGAGAGTGCCACCAGGCAGACAAGCAGCTCTGAAGAGGCTGCAAAGCACAGAGAGGAGGACAGAGGGGTCCCGCTGCGACAAGGCTCCAGTATTCCAAGGCCAGGCCTCACACAGCACAGCAGCCTTACACTACTGAGCAAAATAACCCATGGCACAAGGCACAGAAGTCCCTAATAGAGTAGCCAGGAGGACAGCAGTGTTCAGTTCAGCAGACACCTACCTGCTCCACAGCTAGTCAAGCACTCTGACTCCAAGGATGGGGGTTCCGAGGAAAATTCAAGTTTGGTGGGAGATACTAACATTTAAAAAGATACCTTTCAGTGGGAAGGAAAAATCAGGATGAGGAGAAGGACAAGGGAAAGAAGGAAAAAAGATACATTTGTGTGTATGTGCAGGATACCTTGGATTATTGTACTGCTCATTTTTGCTGGTCTTTCGAAAGGAGCAGTTAATGCTTAAATTTATTTTCTTTTTATTCTTACTTTTCTTTTTTAATTTCTTATAACACTGATGTTGTTGTCAAACCACTTTTGCTTGGTTATATCTGGTAACCTAAACAACTAATTTGAAAGTAAGTTCCTGCAATACAGTAACCAATGTTGAATTCCTATTACTTTGTTTAGTGAACTTTATATCATTTCTGGGCTTTTTTAAGTTACTATTTTGTATTCTTTAAAAATTAAAAAAAATGAAAAGATACCTTTGACATCATGTGGAATAATGAAAGAGTATATGAAATTGACATAGAAAAAAAAATTTAGGACTCAGAGGGATCGTAGTCAGAGGTGACCGCTCACCTGACATGTGGGAGGCCCTGGTTCCACCCTCAGTGCTGCCAATAGACAACAACAACAACAAGCAAGATTCCAAGCTCAGGCTGTCTGCCTTTCTTTTCCCAGGAGCGTCATTGCTAGCCCATTCAATGTCTTTTGTTGGCTTTTAGCTAATTCCCGTCATGAGGAGAGAGAAGAGTTGATTTGTGGGCTGATTAATTTGATTTGGCTTTGATTTGATAAATGGGAGGGACTGTTTTCTGAAATAATACTAACGGCCAGATAGCACACCAGGTAGAGCAGTTAGTAGCCAGAAGCAGTGAGAGGCGCTCTGTTTTGTGGAAAAAGAGGTCATGACCATAACCTTTCATGTTTTCAGATTTACCCTCCCGCTGAGGGCTGAGGAAGCTGGCACCCACTAAAATCTTTCATTTCTTCTAAATAACTCTGTTTAGCCTTCAAGATACAGGAAGGTGAAGGATACTGGGAAGAACCCAAGGGGAGAGAAAATACGACATTTTAAACACATTTCAAAACTGCTCAGAAAGGAAATAAAGAAACATACAATTCAGGATGGCCAAGAAACACCCAATCGGAACCAAGTTAACTAGTTTATAGGCAAGTACACTGGTTCAGGAAAAGAACTGAACACTCCCCAAGGCTCGGTGTATATCAGTAAAGACAGAAACACACAAAGCAACGTGTGACACAGGCACTTGGCAATGGCAGGGTGAATCTAGGCAGTCCGGAGATGAAAAACATTGTTACTACTGATGCTCAAGAAAGAAAAAACATTTGCTTCTAAAACATGCACAAAAGTAATACATACAAATTTTAAAGAAGAGTGGCTTGGGTAATATTTCTAAATCAGTGGTGCAAAGCTCGTGCCATAAATTTGAATATTCTAGCAAATAGAAGCCAAGCAGCTCCCTAGTGAATCCAGCATAGAGAAAACTAAACTGAAACACAACTTCCTCCAAAATACTTTCTCATCAATAGTATATCCCTTGGCTTCGTGTATTTGACTACTGCTTTATTTTTGCATTTCCTCTTTCTTATAACAGTTCCTTGTCAATATTAGTCAGATATTTATTCCTTAAAAATATTAATTAGGATTTATAGGTACATAAGATGCTATTGTAGACTAACCTGAAAAAAGAACACTAT